TCTCACCCCTCACCGTAACTCTCTGCTTCCTATTGCTTAGATACTCCCTTATCCACTGGAGCACCTTACCAGCTACACCTGCCTGTCTCTCCAGCTTATGTACCAGCCTCTTATGCGGTACTGTGTCAAAGGCTTTCCGACAATCCAAGAAAATGCAGTCCGCCCAGCCCTCTCTTTCTTGCTTAATCTGTGTCACCTGATCGTAGAATTCTATCAAGCCTGTAAGGCAAGATTTACCCTCCCTGAATCCATGTTGGCGATTTGTCACGAAGTCCCTTCTCTCCAGATGTGTTACCAGGTTTTTTCTCACGATCTTCTCCATCACCTTGCATGGTATACAAGTCAAGGACACTGGCCTGTAGTTCAGTGCCTCTTGTCTGTCGCCCTTTGTGTGTGTGTGTGTGTGTGTGTGTGTGTGTGTGTGTGTGTGTGTGTGTGTGTGTGTGTGTGTGTGTGTGTGTGTGTGTGTGTGTGTGTGTGTGTGCGAGTGTTTACGATTTGTCTGTAGAATCGAGCTATTAGCTCTTGGGCCCCGCCTTTCTAACCAACCTATTTTTCCTCTAATATATGTACTACATATATCTCTCAAGCACACTCTCGCGCACACACACATTCCCCAGGAAGCAGCCCGTAGCCGCTGTCTTATTCCCAGGTACCTTATACTGCTAGGTGAACAGCGATCAGGGTAAAAGAAACTCTGCTCAATTGTTTCCGCCTCGGCCGGGAATCGATCCCGGACCCCCTAGGACTACCACTCCTGAGCGCTGTCCATTCAGCCGCGAGGCCCCTGAGTGTGTGAGTCTGTGTGAAGCAGACGTGAATAAAAATATTCAGTCACTCATGGATGCTACAATTTTCTCCGTTTCAAATATCTAGTTAGGCCTGTTCGTGTACGCTAATTGGGTATTTGCGAGGTGACTCATCAGTAATTGGGCTAATTATTCTATAACATAATTGCTCGATCCAGAGCATCAATGACAGCTGAGTGATGTCGCCAGCTACGGAATAATTAATCAACTCGTTATACCAGTTCACAGGAAGTAAAAATAAGATTGCAAAGGTCACATAACTCAACACTCACAAACAAATAATAATGCTACATATTTTCCCCAGAGGAATTAAACATTCGTTATTAGAAAAATACCTGTTCAGAATCATTTGCAAATGCCAAAGCTGTGTCAATTTATGAAATAAAAGAGTTATTTGTATAACAAACTAAAGGTACGACACATAATTAAAGCAGCGTCAAGACAACCTTACCTTGAGGTTACCTTGAGGTGCTTCCGGGGCTTAGTGTCCCCGCGGCCCGGTCGTCGACCAGGCCTCCTGGTTGCTGGACAAGGCTACAAGGTAGTCACTAAGAAGCAGAATAGTCCCTGTGAGGCAAGTCATGTGTGTGAGACATAAGGGAAACAAATTTAAGATCATCAGAGCAAATTATTTTTAATATATGGCAAATCGTTGGGATCCTGAAGAGAGAAAATAAGAACATTAATAATGTTGTTGATGTAAACAGAGACCCGATAGTCTTTTCTCTATTTTCTTATGATTATGATTAAGTGTAAATAAACATACGTGGTAAACAAATCAACAAGGGACTGACACCCAGACAGAAACCAATAATAACAGTAAGCAATTAACTACAACATATTCCCCTCCGTGCAATAACAAACAAGTCATTAGCTTTAACTAACTGCGAGTATCCATGAGAAAATGCTGAAGATATTTTTAGTTCATCATGGTTCAGTCGGAAATGCGTGTGTCTGGGGATCCCAAGGATGCGTGTACTATGCTCATAATGTTATATGACCTCACCATTTTGTTCATATATATATGGTAGTTTCTTAGAATTAAGTATGTAATTTCTTATCGTTGAAATCAGATTTACGGATTTACGGCCGAATCATGTTAACCTCAAAGGCAGCAATAAAGTTCTCAAGGCAACTAAACATGTTGATATAACTGTTATGAACACCTCATTCGTGTGGCCATCCACTTGGGCTGAATGGTAGAGCAACGATCTCGCTTCTTGTAGGTCGGCATTCAATCCCCGACCTTCCAAGTGTTTGGACACCATTTCTTTCATCCGTCCTATTCTAAAATCTCTATCCTCATATCCCTTCCATATTATATGTAAGCGTAATAGCTTAGTGTTTTCTCCTAATCATAACCTTACCTTACCTGATTCGTTTTTTTATGAAACGATCATTCAAATTAAAATGTTTAAATTCCTTTCCAATTCAATGGCAATACTGTTCCTGAACTTCGTCAAGTTTAGGAAAGTATGTTAATATGTGTTGGGATAATTTTTTGTGTGAAAGGTTGGCAGTTATGTTGATTGATTGATTGATGAAGATTAAGCCACCCACGAGGTGGCACGGGCTTGAATAGCCCGTAACAGTTATGTTAGGTGAGCTAGTCATATATTCTAGGATGTCAGGTGGGTATTATATCGCCCGGTGTGTCGAGTTTATCATGATAGGTGTGTTAAAACTTCAGGTGTGGGTGACTGCCAGATGCATTAAGATTTCAGGTGTTTTAAATCATCATATACTTTATTTTGTACAAATCATCCGAATGATTGAATGATTGTTCATTCGTCGAATGATTTGTTCATTCGACTCATTTACAAGCTCTATATAACGAATCAACAGGCTGATTGTTACGGATTCATAGGTTTCCAGGAAGGACCGAAACGTCGTCACTCTCATTACAGCTTGATTTTGGCGCCTGTGAATCCAGTCACAGAGTTAACATATATGCCGCACCTTAACATCCTGGAGCCGGTCGGCCGAGCGGACAGCACGCTGGACTTGTGATCCTGTGGTCCTGGGTTCGATCCCAGGCGCCGGCGAGAAACAATGGGCAGAGTTTCTTTCACCCTATGCCCCTGTTACCTAGCAGTAAAATAGGTACCTGGGTGTTAGTCAGCTGTCACGGGCTGCTTCCTGGGGGTGGAGGCCTGGTCGATGACCGAGCCGCGGGGACACTAAAAAGCCCCGAAATCATCTCAAGATAACATGGTGAAGAATCCAAGCTCACCCTCGCTCTCTTCGGGTATGCTGTCGTATGCGCCGCGTTTTGGAGTCCCTCTTGCACTCTCTTATACCGGATACACAGAGACACGCGGAAGTAATCTCATTGGCTCATGGCTAACTAGGCAAATTCTAGGCCTCTGTGGTTCCAGGCAAATAAGACCTTCCAGGACTTATGTTCCAGAGCCGTCGTTGTTGTAAGCGTAGAGTTATTCTCGATTATTACCTCAATCTAAACTATATCCTGTGTGATGGGGATTTCTTAGCATCACCTAGTTAGCTTTTTTGACACACTGTACTCCACTTCATATAGTCTAGGGTAGCTGCACTAATGCAGATGTACCTAATATGTTAATAAAAAAAAAAAAATCTAAACTATGATATTATTTTTTAGTTTTCTCGCCATGTATAAATGTCTACGTATCCACTGTGGCTTTACAAAAGGTGTGGAGATATAAGAGATACAACTTCACTGGATGCAGGCAGGGTGTAGAAAGCAGGGTTTGGCAGGCTGGCAGGGTACAGCAAGCAGGGTGTGGCATAGTGTAGCATACAGGTGTTGCCGCTGATGCTACAGTACGCAGCATTATGGTGACGTTCCTCTGGTGTTCAATAAAATCACAGTATCGTAGCCCATCCATGAGGAAATATGTTATTTCCCATAACATTTTCTCAGGTTTAGAACATTACTGATATTTAATCTTTGCACTGCTGCAATATGAGATTAGGAGCATTACTACACACACATGACAGTGTCTGAGCAGGGTATCTCATAAAATTCGACTATAGAGCTTACATATACACACGCACGTAATCGCAACACCATACCACATACAGCTCCGCTCCTGTGCCAGATAAGTCTACTACAGGGTCACAATAGCCCGTGCTACTTGAAACGTTTTGCTCCTAGTAGGTTAATCTAAAACAACAAAAACTCGCAAAAATCACTCGGTTACATACGCGAACGCTCGCACTTTCATACATACAGGACAACGTGCAAGCTGTCTGCATCTGATTTAAGACATACAAATAGCAATATTGGAATCTGATTGAACTGCAAGTTCAGCTAACACCTGCAAAGTCAATTCGAAGCCTTTGTCGTTCTCTTTACATTTCTGCTGACCTTTGCATATGAGTCTCCACGACACTCGCATACACATTCCAGGCCGTTTGTGACTTGTTATTCATGCTTCTCCAAGCACCGAATTTCATTTGAGGACTCACTCGTCTAAGCTCACAGAAGCAGACAATAATTTTCAGTACTGAAGAGCAACGTCTCGTGAAATAAACCAACCAACACATCTGAAATGAAAGTGACAACGTTTCAGTCCTTCCAGGAGCCTTTCAAGTCGTAACCAGGACGGACCGAAACGTCGACGTTTTCCATTTAATTTCATATATGAGGGTTGTGCTATTTGTTTCACGCGTTAGAGTGACCTGTTCTCTACAGCGCCCTGGGAGTTTAATTCCGACATCAAGTGTTTGGTTTATACCTTCGTATTTAATTTTATCTTGTTTTCCCGATTTGCCTAATAAGCCAAGTTTTCATGAATTAATATATTTTCTCAATTTTTTTTCTTATGAAATGATAAAGCTACCCATTTCATTATGTATGAGGTCAATTTTTTTTTATTGGAGTTAAAATTAACGTAGATATATGACTGAACCTAACCAACCCTACCTAACCTAACCTAACCTATCTTTATAGGTTAGGTTAGGTTAGGTAGCCGAAAAAGTTAGGTTAGGTTAGGTTAGGTAAGGTAGGTTAGGTAGTCGAAAAACAATTAATTCATGAAAACTTAGCTTATTAGGCAAATTGGGCCTTGCATAGTAGGCTGAGAAGTGCTTTCGGGCTACTAGGTACGACATATATATATATATATATATATATATATATATATATATATATATATATATATATATATATATATATATATATATATATATATATATATATATATATATATATATCACTTTCATTTCGAGCCTTTGTCTGTGTGTGGGTGAGTAGTCTTACCTATTAATTATTGCATGTTTGTTCTTACAAGCTAGAGACCTATGCTCATGGTGTCTCGACTTCCACGTAAATTGTGCTGTAAAATGCTTTAAAATATCGATTGGTTTAGAATACACGTCCCATAGAGTTAATTTTCAAACATACACCAATCAACAATTTTGTTCACACCTTTTCTTCAATACACACAACAATGAGTCTCTAGTTCTGCTTCTTTCTAGTTTCAACTGATCTCTCAAGTATATTGTCTGTGCATCGCTTCACAAATTTGAATGCGCTTATCATGTCTCCACTTTCTTTTGGGTCTTCCATTTGTTCTGTTTTCAATATTCCTTCTATTTTATGGTCCCGACTTAAACCCCATAAACCCTCTGATATAAAGTTCAGTTGGAGCATCAATCCATCAATGAATCCCACACTAGTGTGGCTGCCAATCAATAACGTAACTCTGTTCATTAACTCACTAACTCATTTATAAATGTGCAACCATTTATGAATGAAGTTTGGAATTTGATTTTATTGATTTGCTATGTACTGAGGTATGTGTTGCAACTGAACTTTTTATCAATAGTTCATAAAAAGCTTTAATTCATACATGTATTTTTTATATTGACTTTTACTAGATTTAAATATTTTTATTTTTCATTGGACAATTAAGAGGGAAGTTGTAGTTAGTAATGGATGCAAGAGCCAGAGGCAAGAGCCAGAGGCAGGAGCCAGACGCAAGAGCCAGAGGCAGGAGCCAGAGGCAGGAGCCAGAGACAGGAGCCAGAGACAGGAGCCAGAGGCAGGAGCCAGAGACAGGAGCCAGAGACAGGAGCCAGAGGCAGGAGCCAGAGGCAGGAGCAAGAGGCAAGGATGAATATGTGAGGTAGTGGTAGCTTCCAGTAGAGACCGAAACGTCATCGTTTCCTCCATTTTCTGATGTGTGGTTTGGTCATCACATCTTCTCACGTTATTGTGATTCATCGTCTGCAACCAAAACGTCATTTATATATCAGCACTTTCCAATGGTCTGACGAAAGAGAAACCCTGTCTAGCCGACGGTCGTGTCGTTATTATATATTATATAACTCAACCCACACATTTGAAATGAAAGAACACTGACATTTCGGTCCGAATTGGTCCCTTGTCAAGTCGTGACAAACCGAAACGTTGTCACTTTCTTTTCATTTCGAATGTGTGATTTAAATTGCTGGTTTCAGCCCCGTTAGTGTTACCTGCTTTCTGCATTACCAGCGTACTCAAAGAGCCGATCACATGAGATCTTATGGAACATTAACATAACTCTTCAAAGATTTCGGGGCTTAGGTTGACCAGGAGCTCTCCGTCGGAGCAGGTGGTGCTGTCATCAATAAGGGCGAGGATAGAGCTGTTCAGCATGATCCAGGCGATGCCGCAGCCGCAGTCCAAGGGATTCTCTGGGAGAGTAGAAGCGAGTTACTTGCTGAACTCCCGCACTATGTTGCTGTTCAAGAGATATTACCCCGTACACAATTAACAGGTGTACCAGAAAATTAACCGTGTGCATATTGCATAAGTGTACCAAAATATAAACATTGTACATGTCCGCAAGAACTATCACCAATGCAAATTGTGAGAGAAATAATTCCCTGTGCATATTAGCACTGAGAATTGCAGGTGGAGGGAGGAAATTATCAGGGGAAAGCGCCATGCCATTACAACTATATAGCAATTGGAAGGGGACAGTATAAGGATTTAGGTAGGGACGGGGCGAACGAATGGTGCCTAACTCATTAGACCGGCGTGGGATTGAACGGCGACCTGCGTGAAGCGAAACCGTCGCTCTATTTTCCAGCCCAAGTGGTTTAGCACTTACATGTTATTCCACTTGTTGTTTTGCAGGTGGAATAAGAGCTTGTTTGTACAATGAAAGGAACCTGGAAACATCAGTAAAGGTCATATTGAACTAAAAGATGAATTAAGAATTCCTTCTCAAATTAAGAACATCAGCATAAGTCACTACCAAACTTAAAATGATGTTGAGTAGTGAGTCACTACTCAACTTAACGCATTAGCGAAAGTCACTATTAAACTTAAAACATCAGTAAAAAGAGAGGGGAAGTATTAGGGGAAAATATATATATATATATATATATATATATATATATATATATATATATATATATATATATATATATATATATATATATATATATATATATATATAAGCCTATACTTGCATAAACCACAAGTGAAGATAAACAATCTTTGGACAACACCCACCAGTGGGACTCGAACCCAGAAAGCACAACTACCTTCCAGTAGCCGGCATAACTAGTATGCTTTAACCCACTACGCCATCAGACCTTACAAAAGAAGTAGATAGTTCGAGATATATATCTCAAACATCTCTACCTCCCGAAGGCACCAGATGAGTGAGGGGTCAGTCTGCATTTTTCGTCAAGCCACTGTCAATGTGAGAGAACTCGTGTCCAGCTTATAAGCCTATACTTGCATAAACCACAAGTGAAGATAAACAATCTTTGGACAACACCCACCAGTGGGACTCGAACCCAGAAAGCACAACTACCTTCCAGTAGCCGGCATAACTAGTATGCTTTAACCCACTACGCCATCAGACCTTACAAAAGAAGTAGATAGTTCGAGATATATATCTCAAACATCTCTACCTCCCGAAGGCACCAGATGAGTGAGGGGTCAGTCTGCATTTTTCGTCAAGCCACTGTCAATGTGAGAGAACTCGTGTCCAGCTTATAAGCCTATACTTGCATAAACCACAAGTGAAGATAAACAATCTTTGGACAACACCCACCAGTGGGACTCGAACCCAGAAAGCACAACTACCTTCCAGTAGCCGGCATAACTAGTATGCTTTAACCCACTACGCCATCAGACCTTACAAAAGAAGTAGATAGTTCGAGATATATATCTCAAACATCTCTACCTCCCGAAGGCACCAGATGAGTGAGGGGTCAGTCTGCATTTTTCGTCAAGCCACTGTCAATGTGAGAGAACTCGTGTCCAGCTTATAAGCCTATACTTGCATAAACCACAAGTGAAGATAAACAATCTTTGGACAACACCCACCAGTGGGACTCGAACCCAGAAAGCACAACTACCTTCCAGTAGCCGGCATAACTAGTATGCTTTAACCCACTACGCCATCAGACCTTACAAAAGAAGTAGATAGTTCGAGATATATATCTCAAACATCTCTACCTCCCGAAGGCACCAGATGAGTGAGGGGTCAGTCTGCATTTTTCGTCAAGCCACTGTCAATGTGAGAGAACTCGTGTCCAGCTTATAAGCCTATACTTGCATAAACCACAAGTGAAGATAAACAATCTTTGGACAACACCCACCAGTGGGACTCGAACCCAGAAAGCACAACTACCTTCCAGTAGCCGGCATAACTAGTATGCTTTAACCCACTACGCCATCAGACCTTACAAAAGAAGTAGATAGTTCGAGATATATATCTCAAACATCTCTACCTCCCGAAGGCACCAGATGAGTGAGGGGTCAGTCTGCATTTTTCGTCAAGCCACTGTCAATGTGAGAGAACTCGTGTCCAGCTTATAAGCCTATACTTGCATAAACCACAAGTGAAGATAAACAATCTTTGGACAACACCCACCAGTGGGACTCGAACCCAGAAAGCACAACTACCTTCCAGTAGCCGGCATAACTAGTATGCTTTAACCCACTACGCCATCAGACCTTACAAAAGAAGTAGATAGTTCGAGATATATATCTCAAACATCTCTACCTCCCGAAGGCACCAGATGAGTGAGGGGTCAGTCTGCATTTTTCGTCAAGCCACTGTCAATGTGAGAGAACTCGTGTCCAGCTTATAAGCCTATACTTGCATAAACCACAAGTGAAGATAAACAATCTTTGGACAACACCCACCAGTGGGACTCGAACCCAGAAAGCACAACTACCTTCCAGTAGCCGGCATAACTAGTATGCTTTAACCCACTACGCCATCAGACCTTACAAAAGAAGTAGATAGTTCGAGATATATATCTCAAACATCTCTACCTCCCGAAGGCACCAGATGAGTGAGGGGTCAGTCTGCATTTTTCGTCAAGCCACTGTCAATGTGAGAGAACTCGTGTCCAGCTTATAAGCCTATACTTGCATAAACCACAAGTGAAGATAAACAATCTTTGGACAACACCCACCAGTGGGACTCGAACCCAGAAAGCACAACTACCTTCCAGTAGCCGGCATAACTAGTATGCTTTAACCCACTACGCCATCAGACCTTACAAAAGAAGTAGATAGTTCGAGATATATATCTCAAACATCTCTACCTCCCGAAGGCACCAGATGAGTGAGGGGTCAGTCTGCATTTTTCGTCAAGCCACTGTCAATGTGAGAGAACTCGTGTCCAGCTTATAAGCCTATACTTGCATAAACCACAAGTGAAGATAAACAATCTTTGGACAACACCCACCAGTGGGACTCGAACCCAGAAAGCACAACTACCTTCCAGTAGCCGGCATAACTAGTATGCTTTAACCCACTACGCCATCAGACCTTACAAAAGAAGTAGATAGTTCGAGATATATATCTCAAACATCTCTACCTCCCGAAGGCACCAGATGAGTGAGGGGTCAGTCTGCATTTTTCGTCAAGCCACTGTCAATGTGAGAGAACTCGTGTCCAGCTTATAAGCCTATACTTGCATAAACCACAAGTGAAGATAAACAATCTTTGGACAACACCCACCAGTGGGACTCGAACCCAGAAAGCACAACTACCTTCCAGTAGCCGGCATAACTAGTATGCTTTAACCCACTACGCCATCAGACCTTACAAAAGAAGTAGATAGTTCGAGATATATATCTCAAACATCTCTACCTCCCGAAGGCACCAGATGAGTGAGGGGTCAGTCTGCATTTTTCGTCAAGCCACTGTCAATGTGAGAGAACTCGTGTCCAGCTTATAAGCCTATACTTGCATAAACCACAAGTGAAGATAAACAATCTTTGGACAACACCCACCAGTGGGACTCGAACCCAGAAAGCACAACTACCTTCCAGTAGCCGGCATAACTAGTATGCTTTAACCCACTACGCCATCAGACCTTACAAAAGAAGTAGATAGTTCGAGATATATATCTCAAACATCTCTACCTCCCGAAGGCACCAGATGAGTGAGGGGTCAGTCTGCATTTTTCGTCAAGCCACTGTCAATGTGAGAGAACTCGTGTCCAGCTTATAAGCCTATACTTGCATAAACCACAAGTGAAGATAAACAATCTTTGGACAGCACCCACCAGTGGGACTCGAACCCAGAAAGCACAACTACCTTCCAGTAGCCGGCATAACTAGTATGCTTTAACCCACTACGCCATCAGACCTTACAAAAGAAGTAGATAGTTCGAGATATATATCTCAAACATCTCTACCTCCCGAAGGCACCAGATGAGTGAGGGGTCAGTCTGCATTTTTCGTCAAGCCACTGTCAATGTGAGAGAACTCGTGTCCAGCTTATAAGCCTATACTTGCATAAACCACAAGTGAAGATAAACAATCTTTGGACAACACCCACCAGTGGGACTCGAACCCAGAAAGCACAACTACCTTCCAGTAGCCGGCATAACTAGTATGCTTTAACCCACTACGCCATCAGACCTTACAAAAGAAGTAGATAGTTCGAGATATATATCTCAAACATCTCTACCTCCCGAAGGCACCAGATGAGTGAGGGGTCAGTCTGCATTTTTCGTCAAGCCACTGTCAATGTGAGAGAACTCGTGTCCAGCTTATAAGGTCTTTTTTTAAGGTCCAGCTTATATTTTGTAAGGTCTGATGGCGTAGTGGGTTAAAGCATACTAGTTATGCCGGCTACTGGAAGGTAGTTGTGCTTTCTGGGTTCGAGTCCCACTGGTGGGTGTTGTCCAAAGATTGTATATATATATATATATATATATATATATATATATATATATATATATATATATATATATATATATATATATATATAATATATATAACACTGAGAAGGGGTCAGGATAAGGGTTTGGGATGGGACGTAGGGGAAGGAATGAATAAGACTCAATACCCATCAATTATTTCACCAATTATCGTCACCAATTATCGAACATCAATTAGCGTCTCTAATCAACTTAAGATATCAGTAAGAGTTACTACTCAACTTACGAACATCAGTAAGAGCATTACTCAACTTAAGAACATCTATATGAGTCACTACTCAAATTTTGAACATCAATAAGGCAACTATTTATGAACATCAGTAAGAGTAACTACTGAAATTATGAACATCAGTAAGATCACTACTCAACTTTAGAACATCATTAATAGTCACTACTCAGCTTAAGAACATCAATAGGAGTCACTACTAAACTTAAGAACATTAGTAAGAATCACTACTAAACTTGTGAACATCAGTAAGAATCACTACTCAGCCTAAAAACATTAGTAAGAGTCACTACTCAGCTTAAAAACGTCAGTAAGATCACTACTTAAATACATTGTACGATCTCAATATTTTACCTGATTTTTTCTATGTAGGAGAAAATAAAAAAAGCCATACAATAGGTTCGAACCCGCATCCCTGGACTCCTAGGCACACACACACACACTTCCGACTGTCCCACGATAAGCTCATCATGGTTCAGTGGGCAGTGCTCAGTGCCTGGGAAATTCATTATGTGGATTCGATCACAAGAACGGCCCTCAATGTATTCTCGTAGATTCATCAAGTTCTCATGAATTCATTGTGTGCATCATCTTGAGTCACCACTCACCTTGTGCATGCAAGCGAGCCCCTTTGGCAAGCAGTGGGCTCCACACGTCTTCAAACAAATCAGTCAACTGGTTACTCTCTAAATATATATCGCTGCCATGGGTGACGCCTGAGGACAGGACAGAGCATGAGAAAATCGTTAGAGTAGGATGAGGGTTTGAACCAGCATCCTGGTTCACTCCAGAAGTGTGAGTCCGTGGATCACGTTGTGCTAAAAGTTATACAACCTGGAGTCTTCCTGAACCCCACTAGGAATCTGGAGGCACCGAGCTGGAAGCCACTCCATGTTTTACTTGCCAAACAAACTTAATTAACAGCAATGTTATTATTACAGTTGATGTGACGTTATAACACCCATGTGACGTTATAACGCTATAACGTTAACAAATAACGTTGTGGTTACGTTGAGTGCGACGTAACTACTCGTGAAACATGTGAAGCAAGAGAAATCTTGCTCACACATTGAACTATCTTTGAATAAGTGGTTCCATTTTTATTACTACAATTACTTTAAACTGATTTTGCAACTAGATAAGTTTGCACATAACTGATATTGTAATGTTGTAATTAAATTGTAATAAAATTTAACTTACTCTTTTACTTACTATTTTGTATTGAAATTTATTTTGGAATGTTGCAATTATATGGCAGCAAAATTTTAAATTTAACAATGCAGTACAAAATATTGAACAGTGTTAACATAGAGTGAGTTGCAGCTCTTGCATCATCTGTTGGGCTTCAATATAAGAGCATCGTAAGAACGAAAGAATAAACTGCAGATGGCCTATTGGTTCATGCGAGGCAGCTCAGATTTATTCCCAACAAAACTCGCTCATATATATATATATATATATATATATATATATATATATATATATATATATATATATATATATATATATATATATATATATATATATATATATATATATATATATATATATATATATATATATATATACATATATGTGTGTGTGTGTGTGTGTGTGTGTCTAACCTACGCTTAAAACAATCCATAGATTCTACGTCTATTGTGCTACTCTGAATTTGTTTCCATTAATCAACAACCCTGTTTCAAAAAACATATTTTTCAGGATCTTTCATCAATCTAAACAGATCCAATTTGAATCGAATTTTCCGTGCTCCATTTCGTGATGATATATTATTAATGTTTCCTTTGTAATACCCTGTAATCAATTTGTATTCTTAAATCATATCACCTCTTATACATCACCTTCAGAATGTAAATATAGCTTTCTTTATCTTTCTTCATGGGAAAGTTTTTAATTCCTGGGTAAGAATGAGAAGAGTAACGTTGTTTCTCTTCAATGTACAATTTCAAATGAATTTTGTCCATTCTGTAGTCCGTTGACCAAAACTGAACTGCATAATCTGAGTCCCCTATAAAAGCCAGATTTACTACTCTCCTCAAAGCCTGTAATCTGCCTGAACCCACGTCCAAGCACTCTGGCTCCTGCCTATTTCCCTTCATTGTATGTTAATCCTTCCATTGTTGTGGGCAGGAGAGAGAGACTCACTGTGTACGATGGAGTAAGTTTACCTATTTTCTCTTATGTACGCTTACAGGATGAACATCAGCACCTGAGCTTCGCCTCCCAGTCGGCAGTCGCCTAATTCAAAGGGTCAAACCTGCTGTAGGTTTATTATTGTATTATAAGAACGTTGATACTTCTCCTTAAAATGTTTCCTAGTTTTCAGTACAAGTTCAGTGTTATAGAAATAATTTCATATATTAGGTTTCTCTATATTTCTCTTCTTTCTCTCCAAAAAGTTTCAGCTCACTGTAAATGTCTATAGTGCTGTATCTCTGATATATTGCACTTAACAACCATCTTATCATACTGGTTGCATCAGTGTTTCGTTACTTATATAATTAATATTTAATAAATCCTGTTAATTAATGTGTAAAATTTTAGTGTTGCCAAATGTATGTACATAACTTGTAAATGTTTCTCCTACACAATCATAATTATTTTATTTATTTTTTATTTTTCTAAAATTTGTATATTTGTTTATTATTGACAGCTTGATTCTCTATTTTTCATCTATACCTACATACACCTAGACCTATCCTACCTATATTACTAATAAGACCTTTATCACAAATAAGCCTGAGGAATCATTCAGAGACACTATTATTGTTCATTTGCTCATTTGATCATTCAGAGAGTTCCCCAAACTGAACGACGTAACTGCTGGAACCTCAGATATTGAAAGATGCATTCTATCCTTTTGCACAAATATCATACCAAGTAAATATCATATCAAGTAAAACCCAGATTCTGACTATTTGAAAATGTAAACACGGCTTTAACATCATTAAACTCATGGTGGTGTTGACACATCTGCTTACATCATATGATAAAGTTTCTACATTTGTTAGGTATTTGCTAAAAACATTTCTATCTGGAACTCTAGTGTAACGGAAGGTCAAGATAAACGTAACGTTACCTGAGATGGCATTGACGGCGATGGTGCTGATCTTGTTCTCTGATAAGAACACATCTGTGTATCGAGACGTCACTGTGAACTGTATGGATCCCTCTGGCACTTCTGTTAACTGGTTATTATTCAGACTCACTGTACTTAATTGATGGAGTCCGGAGAAAGTGCCTGTGGAGGGATAGAGTGGCAACTGTAATGATAGCAGACAGGCAGCTAAGGTAAGGTAATTATCAGTTCAAAGGCAGTAAGGTAGTCAGCTCCTCCCCATTTGGAAGGAACATGAGGACAGATTATGAGTTGGGATAAAAGGACGGAATGAAGAAATGATGCCCATACATGTTGTCAGTAGAGATCGAACACCAACACTGCGGGAAGCGAGGCTATCCCTGCGCCAGTTGGTCTAAGTTCAGAGATGGAAATTAATAATGTGAAGTGCACCGTTATGGGCGATAATCGTGGTAGCTTCTTACGTAATATGTGGCTTATGATTGGTCTACTGTGTGATGGAAGGAGCCTAGCGTGCTGTGGGGACTGTTACTAGAGAGTTAAGGCTAGTTGTAAAGGTCCTGGTAGTTCGGATGTTGCTAAAGCTGTTTAATGTAGGTAACAATTTTGGATGTATTGTGGTGAAGGCTGAGATATGAGTGTGTGACCAGGGCTTGGTTATTAGCTTCATGAAGGCAGGGGAAATTTTGTCATATTCAAAAATAAGTTAACCAAAATATTACCCTCTCCAAAATTTATTGTATTCAATAAAAAATATAAATTAAACTTAAGAGAAAGCAAAAACAGACACTAGTTGGTACCTGGAACTATCTCGAGCATGTTAACATCGTTCAAATAGATCTCCTCAATTACGGAAGCTCCCTTGAAAGCTGTGTCTGGAACCAAACCCAGCGAATTGTTGGACAGGTCGAGGTACTTCAGACTGTGTGAGATGAGAGCTGGGAATGTGGAAATGCTGTTGGAGCTAACGTCCAGGTCCACGAGGGCTGTAAATGAGGAGAGTTCCCCCCAGGGAAACACTGCTATGTCGTTGTTTTCAAAATGCATAGATATTGCTGTGGAGGAACTGCTTGAGAGGGCACCGGTCTCCACCTCCGTCAGAACTCCGTCCGTTATATAGAACTCTTGGAAAGTGGCGCTTCCCAGGGCGTCACGCCGCAACACCGCCAAGTTGTAATTGCTCTCTATCGTCAGTTTACGGAAATTAGGAAAGGGGAAGGTTGAGCTCATGATCGTCGTCAACTGCTCCTCGCTCTCCACTTTGGAACAGTCGAGATCAAGAAAATAGGTATCCTGGTCGTTGAATGTACAGACACAGGGGGCGATGACATCCACGTCTGGGCAGGGACGATTACGTGGTTCCTGCTTGTCCTCCTCAACTGCTTGGGGATTAAATATTACCTCATTACCAAAGTATCCTCCAAATACGCCGCTAAAATACCGTCCCACAACCCCATCACCATCAGGTTCTGCCGCGCAGCTCAACGCCACCAGTAGAGAAGCAAGGAGGGTGTGGAGGAGCGGCATATCTAACAGTACCTCTGGGGCAAGTTTCGTAAGAACGTACTAACAACGACTGTGTTTATCACTCATTATATACCTCGTGAGAGTGGGGCACCTGCGTCCTTACCTGAGAGTTCTTGCGTAATCGTGTTTGTAGAACAGAGCTGCTTCTCGGCTCCGTTCTGCAAGCTGTTAGTCGTCAAACGCTCTGATTTTCTAACTGTTTGTTAATATTATATGTGCTTTTTTAAACAATGGATGGAGATAGAGTCTAAAGTTGAGCCCTTCAGTTCCCTTCCCATTGCTTACTGCGTTTATACTAGAGGTGCTTCCTTCCACCCTTAGAACCCATCTGTATCTCGTCTCCATGCTGGTCTTTTCGTTAAGTTATTGCTCAACCTCAATATTTAGTTGTAACTTGATGTGTCCAGGACGGGCCTAGACGTTGTCAGTTTTTCATCTCTTCGTGTCGTGTGGGTTGGGTTATTTGTTTCAGCAAAGTTATTGTTACTTAATCTCTGCATTCGGTCTGTCTATTGTTATTAAAACTCCTTGGTATTTTGTATTAGTCATGTCCCTTTTATCCCTTCTTTCTTCCTTTCCATCATTCTATCATTGTACTCCAATAGGTTTGTGAGACATGACTTTCCTTCTCTGATCCAGTGCTGTGCCTTGCTGTAAAATGAATTCTCTGTGTTCCATTATTTTTTTCCTTATTTTTTTCAGCATTTCGCATACATTGCTTGTTAGGGACACTTGTCTTCAGCTGAGGGGTTATGTTTGTTCCCCTTTCATGCATGTTAGTGCATGTGTCTTTCACTTCTGTATAAGGCAACACCCACATCTTTAACACACATTGTGATAAAATTTTGTTTTCGTGGGTTGCAAATATTTTTCGATTACATATGCCTCCAAAGTACAGAAAATGGGTATTGTTTCCCCTCAAACTTTGCTTTGACCTGTGCTCAGAGAAGACGTCTTGATGGTACCTGGAGGCTGCCGACTAATGAAACATGATGTCACAGCTCTGTCTGCCTCAACTTTGCCTAACTGTCTAAGTCAAAGATCAAAGGAAAGTTTGTGGGGGAATAACAGCTATTTTCTTTGGGGCACAACCAAACAGAAAATAACATTTACTACCAAAGGGCCAAAAATTTTGTTAGATTGTGTCACTGGCCGTTGTGTCCAGACATCACTGGACGCATAAGTCTGTAACTGGCTTTGTTTCCTCATACTTGTGCGTGCTTTCTACTGGGGTTTTACTTAGTTCTTACGTTACCGAGTTTAATTACCAATTTGGAAGAATGGGTGAAAGATTTTGCAAAAAATTACTATCAGGTTTAACAGTTCCTTGTGCTAGGAAGACAGCACAGTTCAGCTTAAGCCAAATGAAAGAGCTGTTTAAGGATAAATTTACATGTAGTGAAATTCGAAAGTTCTTCTTCCCACGCCCGGCCTGGACAAGATTTCCACCATCTTATACCCAGCTCCAGAGACACCACAGTGTTGAGAAGAGGGTCCCTGGGAGCGAAAAGAGGAATGTGTTGGGGTCTGGGATGGAGCCTCGGCCACAGGAGGGTGTTGGGGTCTGGGATGGAGCATCGGCCACAGGAGGGTGTTGGGGTCTGGGATGTAGCCTCTGCCAGAGGAGGGTGTTTGGGGATAGGATGGAGTCACGGCCAGAGGAAGGTATTGGGGTCTGGGATGGAGCCTCGGCTAGAGGAGGGTATTGGAGTCTGGGATGGAGCCTCGGCTAGAGGAAGGTATTGTGGTCTGGGATGGAGCCTCGGCTAGAGGAAGGTATTGGGGTCTGGGATGGAGCCTCGGCCAGAGGAAGGTATTGGGGTCTGGGATGGAGCCTCGGCCAGAGGAAGGTATTGCGGTCTGGGATGGAGCCTCGGCCAGAGGAAGGTATTGCGGTCTGGGATGGAGCCTCGGCCAGAGGAAGGTATTGGGGTCTGGGATGGAGCCTCGGCCAGCTGTTTATGATAAGCCCCACGACTCACATCTACGATAACTTCTGCAATGAACCTCGTGTTTTCATTGTGAATTTAAATAAGAACATACGTTATGTTTTGTTGCATGCTGATGCGTTGTCTGAAGGGTGGTGTGGGAGGCCATTGGTGGGGGCTAAGACAAGTGAAGCACATTTGTTCTCTTGTGGGAAGCTGCGGCTGCTGCTTGTGTGTAATAGGGGTCAGATGAAACGTGGGTATATGTGTAATTGGGACCAGGTGCGGCAGCCGAGTGTGTCAGATAGAACTGACACATAGATCATCATCTATGTGGGGGTGAGATGGCCAGGTGTTGCAGCGTGCAGCTCTGCAAGCTGCGGAAGATAAAGGTCAAAGCTGATGAGAACTTTGAATATTGAAATATGTTTACTGATTTGTAGCTCAGTCCCTGGTGCAGCAGGTCGCTGGCACCACTATACACCCACGCATACACCACCATACCCCATCATACGCCCATGCATACAACACCATACACCATCATACACCCACGCATACACCACCATACACCTACGCATACACCACTATACACCCACGCATACACCACGCTATACTCTCACACATACACCACCATACACTCAAACACACACGACCATATACCCAAATATACACAACCGTTCACCCAAACATTCACCACCCCTATACACCCACACATACACCACTATGCACCCACACATATACCACCATACACCCACACTTACACGACCATACACCCAAACTCACACCACCATACACCCAAAGATACACCACCCTGTATACTCACACATACACCACCTACACCCCACACATATACCACCATACACCCACACTTACACGACCACACACCCATTCACCAAATACAAAAAATACCCCCAAACATACATCCAGCTGCACACAACCATACACCATGAAACATGCACCATCATGCGGAGAGATGACAACACTGCGCTACTGGGAACTTGCAAGTGCATGATTAGATTATTCTAAACATCTACATAGTTTTCTCACGTACTCCAAAGATACCTTTAATGTATCAAGAGGATAGAACGTGTGTGTGTTTAGAAACTGTTAAACTTTATTTAGACATCTACATCAAGCTTTAAACAAATTCACTTGCTTTGAAACCCCCCTACTGATGTTCTCAAAGCAGGTAAAGCATCATGGTTATGCAACTTAGCAGCTCTCAAAGTTATGCATGATAACTCTCAAAGTTATGTATTGTAGCTCTCAAAGGAATGTATTACAGCTCTCATAGGTATGTATGGCAGCTCTCAAAGTTATGTCTGGTCGCTATCAAAATTATGTATTGCAGCTCTCAAAGATATGAAGGTCAGTTATCAAAGTTATGTATAGCAGCACTCAAAGTTATGTTTGGCAGCTCTTAAAGTTAAAAAAAAATGTTGCTCTCAGCGCCCCCATCAGCTCACATATACCTGCAATAGCTTTTAAGGACATTCAGCAAATCGAAAACATGTACGGTTCCTTTTGAGCATACCTCAAACACCATCTGCAGCTCTCAGACACAAACAACAGCTCTCTCAAACACAAACAGGAGCCTTCAAACACAAACAGCAGTACTCAAACACCATCAGCAGCGGTAAAAAAACGAAAGTTTTCAAACACATGTCACAGATTTTAAACACAAACAGCAGCTTTCAAACATAAACATCAGTTTTCAAACACAAATAGTAGCTTTCAAACACAAGCAGCATCTCTCAAACACAAACAACAGCTTTCAAACACAAACAACAGCTTTCAAACACAAACAACAGCTTTCAAACACAAACAACAGCTTCCAAACACAAGCAGCAGCTCTCAAACACAAGCAACAGCTCTCAAACACAAACAGAAGCTCTCAAACTCAAGCAGAAGCTCTGAGTTATTTGAAGCCTGTTTTTTAGTTATTTGAGATTGACACAATTGAGGAGATCGGTGCCAGTTACCAGTACTCAAACAGTTTCTAAGATGATTCATACGTTAAAACCTTTCGTAATTAATATGACATTGAATCAATCCACTACGGTGAAAAATTTATTAACAAAGCACAAAATTTTTTAAGTTTGCATCTAGGAAGTCCAATTCATAGTTGCAAAATGTCTAAATTAGACCAACGGGTCATGAATAAGTTTGAAGGTGAAACAATATAAAAAATAGTTTTCAAACAGGACAGGAATCTAGTTGTATATTCGCACACGTGTGAAAGTTGGAGAGAGAGAGAGAGAATTAAAATCTAGTGTGCGCTTTTGCCCTTCATGTATTTAAAACATTTTTGTAACTTCAGAGACTGATTCTTTTGATGCGATAAATTAAATGCATGGAAGTGCTTAAATTCTCTGTATCCACAATCCCTTCTAACCCATATTCACCTTTATATGCCACATGTTCATTCGTGATCAGCTTATATAAGGGGTGCTTATATGTGCGAACATATACCAAGTAAAGGACAATTTAAAAAAAAAATGAATACTCTCAAGATGTAAACCATTGATGAAAAGCTGCCGCGTTCCTCACAGTGAGAGAAAACATTTCCCAGAAAAAGGCTGTGTGTAGGGCGGGCGGCTGAAGCTCCCGTTAGATAAGAAATTATTTCGGGAAACCCTGCAAAATATAGTGTAAGAAAAATGCTTCCAGCTGTTGCACCTCCACAGGAATTGTTGTATAACCTTCCGAGAAAACTTGTGAATCTTTAATGGTCGAAAAGTTAAGGTTGGCCTTCGTGGCAACTCTCTCGTCACCAAATAAATAGAGAATTGGTTTTTATTATTATCTTGAGGGTGGTCAACTGGTCTCACAAAGAAATAAAAGAACCACATCTGAAGCAAACACTTTTCAGTGTAATGTAATTTATAGAATATTTACTTAAAACCATTATAATTAAATATGTTCTCTCGTTTTGCGCAATTATGTATGTCAATATTTTTCATTCTCTATTAATTCCTCTATCCACTCTCACTTTTCATCTTCTCTATCTTCCCCTTCACCACTTTTCTCCACGTAATATCTTCCCTCTTCTCTTTGATTATCCATATAACCATACCTGAAGGCATTACACTTCTAACAGCTCCTCTTGG